AAGAGCTGACTCATTTGAAAAGACCCTGATGCTGGGAAAGATTGAGGGCAGCAGCAGAAGGGGATGGCAGAGAATGAGATGGTTGGATGGCATCACGATTCAACGGACAAACTCATGTCCGTTGGCTAAACTCCGGGAGTTGTTGATAGGCAGGGAGACCTGGCGTGCTGCGGGTCGTGGGGTTGCAAACAGCTGGACAAGACTGATCGACTGAACGAACTGAATGTAGTTGGAAATTTCAATACCCCCTTTCATTAGCTGAACAACTACAGAAACTAAGTAAGGATATACAAAACCTGAATAGCATTATGAACCAATCTGATCTGACATTTATAGAACACTCTACCCAACAGCAGCATAATATACATTCTTTCCAAGTATACACAGAACATTTACCAAAATAAACCATATTCTATACCATAAAGTGAGATCCAATAAATTTAAAAGAATTTGTATCATATAAATAATATTATTCAGTTTAGTTCAGTCGCTCAGTCGTGTTCAATTCACCACAGTTCAAAAGCATCAATTTTTCGGCGTTCAGCTTTCTTCACAGTCCAGCTCTCACATCCATACATGACCAATAGAAAAAACATAGCCTTGACTAGACTGACCTTTGCTGGCAATGTAATATCTCTGCTTTTTAATATGCTATCTAGGTTGGTCATAACTTTTCTTCCAAGGAGTAAGCATCTTTTAATTTCATGGCTGCAGTCACCATCTGCAGTGATTTTGGAGCCCAAAAAAATAAAGTCTGACACTGTTTCCACTGTTTCCCCATATATTTGCCATTAAGTGATGGTACCAGATGCAGTGATCTTAGTTTTCTGAATGTTGAGCTTTAAGCCAACTTTTTCACTCTCCTCTTTCACTTTCATCAAGAGGCTTTTTAGTTCCTCTTCACTTTCCACCATAAGTGTGGTGTCTTCTGCATATCTGAGGTTATTGATATTTCTCCTGGCAATCTTGATTCCAGCTTGTGCTTCATCCAGCCCAGCGTTTCTCATGATGTACTCTGCATATAAGTTAAACAAGCAGGTAACAATATACAGTCTTGATGTACTCCTTTTACTATTTGGAACCAGTCTGTTGTTCCATGTCCAGTTCTAACCGTTGCTTCCTGACCCTCATATAGATTTCTCAAGAGGCAGGTCAGATGGTCTGGTATTCCCATCTCTTTCAGAATTTTCCACAGTTTATTGTGTCCACACAGTCAAAGGCTTTGGGATAGTCAATAAAGCAGAAATAGATGTTTTTCTGGAACTCTCTTGCTTTTTCGTATTATGCCTACACTATAAAAGAAAAAAGTCTCATTATCAATGACCTAATCTTCCACCTAAACAAATTAGGAAATTTAAGATCAGGAATCAATGAAATAGACATAGAAAATACCAGAGAAAAATAAAAAAATCAAAGTAGGTTCTCTGTAGAGATCAGTAAAACTTATAGGTCTCTATCCAAATCCATCAGGAAAATGAAGAGAGAGACACACAAAATACCAATATCTGGAATGGGCATAAGAGCTATCCATATAGTATATTCATAATTTCTTTGCCACTTCTACATTAAAGCGTTGGTGCCTCATCTCCTTTTTAATATGGATCGGATTTGAGACCTTGCTTCTAACAAACAGAATAAAATAGAAGTAAATGTGTAACTTTCCAGGCTGGGAGAGAAAAAGCACGGTGCAGCTTTCTGCTTAACTTCTCTGTTTTACCAGCCACTCAGGGGGAAGACAGCTGCCCTGCTGTGATGACAGTCAAACATCACTATGAGAGGTCGACATGGTGAGGAACTGAGGCCTCTATCAACAGCAGTAAAAAATCGAGGCCTCTAATCTATAGCTGTGTGAATAAGCAATATTGGCAGCAAAATTTTTTAGCTCTAGTCAAGTCTTTAGATAACAGACATCCTGGCCAACATCTTCACTGCAATCTCAGGAGAAACACTGATCCAAGATCATCCAGCTGAGTCACATCCAAATTCCTGATCCACAGAAAAGGTGAGATAATTTAATGTCTGTTGTTTTAAGGCACTAAGGTGTGGGAAAGTCATATACAGCAAAAGGTAACCAAAATAGGGAGCATCATTACAGATCCCAAAGCCATTAAAAGTATAATAAGAGAATATCACAAACTTTTAAACCAAGAAATTCAAAAATCTAGATGAAAATCCTCAAAGGAAACAAACTACCAAAGCTTACTCAAGGGGAGATAAAGAACCTGATAACAAACACCTTTTAATCACACACAGATCACCCACAAATAAATAAGATTTTATTTTTACAAACATCACTGTTTATTCACAGTGCAATAAAACCAGAAATAACAAATTAAAATGAAAAAAGACATGCCATGAGAAAATTTTTAGATCTTCTATTAAATAACTTCTGGGTGCAGGGGAACTACAAATTAAAATTAAGTTCTAAAAAATAAAACATACATGTCAGCATCTACAGGATACCTTTAAAACAGTAATGAGGGAAAAATGCAAATCGTTAAAAACACATCAAGAAAAATATTCTCTCACTGGTCAAATCTGGGATAATTTAAACATCAAATAGGAAAGGATTATAATCCATTAGATAAATTACTTTTAAAATCCATAAGTCTGATATAAATAAATGGTAAAGGTAAAGTCACTTTATCACAGAATGCCAATTAATAAATATAGAAGAAAGAAAATCATTATTGGGAAACATCAATTAACTGATTGGAACAAGTCAATGGCTGCTACAATGGAGGTGGGGGGGAGGGAAAAGAGTTTGATGTCTCAAAGTAGCTTCCTCTAAGTCCTTAATAATTACAAGAGGAATCTGGCAGATGCCACCTTAAACCTGTGATCAGAGATAACATCATCAATAATGAGACCTGCTGACATCCCATGCCCTAAAAAGGACAGGATATTCCTTCTGTGGCATATGTGTCAGAACTGCATAACCTGAATTTAACAATGAGCAAAGAGTCAAATCTAAATGAGGGACATTCTCCCTAATGACCAGCCTGTACCCCAAAAATGTCAAGTTCATGAAAAACAAAGGAAGACTAAGGAATTACTTCAGATTAAAGAGACAGGACAACTAAATGTAATGTGACATTTTACATCAGATGGTTAGGGGCCGGGAAAGGGTATAAAAAACGTAACTGGCAACAGTAACAAAATCTGAATTTGGACTTCACATTAAATAATGGTATTTTATGATGACTAAATTTTCTGATTTTGATAATGGTACTGAGGCTATGTTATGGGTGTGTCCTTGTTGTCATGAAATACACACTTAAGTATTCAGGAATAAAGGAGCACTGTGTCTGCAACTTAATCTCAAACTGTTCAGGGATGTGATGTGTGTACACACCCACCCACATACACAGACTCAGAATAAATCAAATGAGGCAAACAGAAAATGGTGAATCTCCTCAAATGTACACACAAATTTTTCCTACATCCTTGCTATTTTTCTGTAAATTTGAAATTATATACAAGACAAACATTTTTAGAAAAAATAAGCTCCACCAAAACAAAACAATGTTAAATAAGATCTTCAGGTTAGGATTTCAACAAGCTGCTTAAGCCAAGTAAAATGAAAATTGTAACTATAAGCAAGGATCCTAATAAAATTTCATTAATCTGACTACTGATGGCTACATGTTTTCCAAGAAGCTTCAGCAGATTCAAGCAATACCTCTTCAACTTTTCTAAATGTTGTGAAAGTTTTCAACTCAGTAATTCAAGCCCAATACTTCCAACTGGGGAAGGAAAAGGTGGATTAACTTTATTCCAGAAGTAACAATGAAATTTAACCTTTCGTGATGAAATCTACTTTCTGTGATGGTCACAATGAATTTGAAAACAAATGAAGTTCAAGTGTATGGTCTATAATCTTTTCTTAATCCATGTAATTAGGATTAGTTCTACACCTAATATTCTTAGGAATAGGTAAAATTTTCATTTAGCATGTGAATTTAAATAATTCACTCAATATTCTTGATTGTATTTTGAGGAAACTTCAAAACATGTGATTCCTATAACATGGCCCCTATCCTCAAAAAATATGTGCGCTGGTTGGGGAGAGGGCAAAATGTTGAATTTGTTCAGAAAGCAAAGTCTATACTCAGAATTCTAACCTAAGGTAGCTTGGTAGAGGAGGAAAACCTACGAGTGGAATTAGATATACTGAGTTTAAAGGAGTCTGTTGCGATCAAGGACAAGTAACTTAATCCCTCCCCCCCCCCCCCCAATTCCCCATGCCGTGAATTACTACTATAAAACGAGATTTTTTTTTTTATTCCTGCTTCAAAAGGCTGAGGATTAGGCGAGGTATTGTAGTTGGAAAGTGCTTTGTAAACTTCAAAGCCCTACACGTGTTTACTATGTGTAATAAACTCCACAAGAGAGGCCACTTGGAATCGGCAAAGATAATTCGGTTGTCATGAGTTCCTACGAAATACCGCAACTGGATGTGCTCCGGTACACTGGACTTGGCAGAGAGTCAAAATGAGGTTCTCCTCAAGAATGCTCTTTCTGCAGGAAATACCAATATAACGAGCAAGCGCAGACACCCCTCTGAATGGCCTCCGAACTTCGCGGAGGTGGGGGAATGTTAAGCATTGCGGCAAGCAAAAACTGACCAATTTTTTCAAAACTTGCAACGTGCGACCTAGGCTAACTTACGAGCCAGGCAGAGAGGGGCGGGGACGAGGGGGCGTGGCCCGCAGCCGGTTCCCCTCCCCCCCGCCCCACTCCCATAGCGCGCGCGGACCTCCTAGCGTCTCCTGCGGGCGGTCACCCCGGCCCAGGCGTGTAACCGGAGACGAGGAACGGGTTTCCAGCAACAGCCCACAATTCTCAAACTTCTACTCTCCGAGGAGCCCTCGCGGTCTACCCTTCTCAAAAACCACAAGTCCGAGTCCCCTAACCCCTCAGGTCACAGACTTGCAGGACCCGGGCTGCGCCGCCAAAGAAAAGCTCTCCGAGCGAAAGAGCATCAGCCGGGCGAGTACCTGAGCCGAAATGAAGCCTTCATACACGGTTTTCTCCCGGTTCTGGGGCAGAAAGAGCGGAAACTGGCGCAGCAGGGTCGCTTCCGTCTCCGCCATAGCTCGCGGTCCGTGGAAACGTAAGGGTACCGGCGGCCGCTGGTCCCGCACATGCGCAGTTCTGCCTGCGCCTGGGGCGCCGAGAGACGTACACACGCGCGTTTGGCGGGAAGTCTCGAGCTTTCCGTGGGCAAAAATGAAGGTCCGGTGGTAGTCGGGATGCCTGGGCTCAGCTCCAGCCACTGTAAATTCGGCTCAGCAGGAAGTAGCATTGGCCCCAGCGCGAGGCAGGAGGGAAGACTGTTTGCTGAACCTGACCGAACCTGATCATACTAGCTTTGATTGTCCCAAGAACCGTGTTGGATGTTTCTTATTACTCCAGACTCAAGTCTAACACCAGACTTCTGCTGCGTTGCTTTTGCGAATATCTAAGGCAAAACAGGAGGGAAAATTACTGATGGACTTGAGGAACCAAATTTAATTTTTCTTTAACAACCCTTTCTATGTGCCGTGTTAAGTCACTTAAGTCGTGTCACTTAAGTAGGACCAACACAAAGATTATGTGACCCTATGGATTGTGGCCAGCCAGGCTTCTCTGTCCGTGGGATTCTCCGGGCAATACGTATTTCTAACTCAGGGATGGTAATTATCCATTCCTTTTTTTTTTTTTTAACTAAGGGGTGATTAATAAGGAACCTAATGTTTACTGCACAATTATTTGATTTCAATCAGTATTCAATGCAGTATTCAATATTGCAATCAATCAATATTCAGTCAATTCAGTATTCAATATTGTATTTTTGAACCCTTGTATTTGCTAAACGTCATTGTAATAGGCTACAGGTTGTGCAAAAATGAGTAAGATTCACACCCAAACATTTTGATTGCCCTCAAAATCGGATGAGACTTCTTCAATATTCTTGTTTGACAAGAATTATAAGTTTTCTGGATACTTAGAGAAAAACAAGAATGTTAGCAGTGTAAATATAAATTACTCTAAAGCAGTGGCTTTCCAAAGTTCCTGGATCCATTAGCATCACCTGGGAAATTTTACATCACCTTTACAGAAAGGCAAATTCTCACCCCTCTGTCTCAGACCTAGGGAATCCCAAACTCTGACAGTGACGCCCAATCATCTGTGTTACAACAAGCCCTGGAGGTACTATGTTGCACAGGCTAAAGTTAGAGAATCTCCCCAGAGGCATGGCATGCCATCCACTCAGTTATGCAATTCATTTATTAAAGATGACAGGCTACAAGTTTTGTGAGGGGCATAAAGTGAAGGTCGTTAAAACAGTAGGACCAACACAAAGATTATTAGCACGTATAGTCACTGCCTTCAAGGACTTATGAGTTAAAACATTTGCTGTTACCAAGGATTTCCCTGGTCCAGCAGCTGAGACTCCTCCCTCCCAATGCAGGGTTAGGGTTAGGTTTGATCCAGACTTCTGGTCAGGGAACTAGATCCCACATGCTTCAGCTAAGACCCAGAGCAGCCAAATAAGTAAATAAATAATTTTTTAAAAAAGCATTTGCTGTTTCCGGTATTTCAAACTTCACCACGACCCCCACCACCACGTTCCCCATGGCACTTCTCCCCTTCCTTTAAGGCTTTCTCAACTGCTACCTTTTTTGGGAAACCTTTTCTTAATTGATGAAAATTATTGCTTTCCCTAATCACTTAGTATATTTCTTGATACACTGTAGGTGTTCATTAACTATTTACTAAAATGTTAATTGATATCCAGTAGTCCTATAGGCAGATTACAAATAAGTATTATGAGGATTCAGAAGAATTAAGGAACTTTTCACAAAATATTTAAGTTGGTTTCCATTTATTATATCATAATAATCACAATAGTGCTGCATAGCACTATTATAGACTATCTGATTTATTTAAATTATACTAAAACTAGCATATGTAAAGTACTTTCAGATTTTATTTAGATTTTATGGTAGTGTTCTTTAGATATGTATTTTTTATATTGTCTGTTTTGTATGTGAGTAAACTGAGATTCAGAGATATTAAATAAGTTGCTTAATATAGTAACTTAGTGACTTGTATAATGAAGATTAAATTCCAGTGCTCTAAATTTTAGATTTAATAAAATTTCCATTAAATCAGCACAGATGCACTGCCCATCATGAAACTCAAAAGAAGTTAATCTAAAGTTGTTAATGACTCATGCTAGCTGTGGGGTTTCAGGAATTTAATTTTGATAGTTTGATAATGGATTTACCAAAATAATATATTCCTTCTGAATATAATCATAACATTTTCTACCTACAATCTTTATGTGAGAAAATAGCCTAAGAATATTTTGTCCAGCAGGTTCCTTAGGAACTAAAGTTTTTCCATTAAAATAGCCTTGGAGAGTTTATACTACAGCACCCTCATTACACAGATTAGAGAAGTGAAGTCCAGAAAATGTACTGTCCTTAATTATTATTATATTTTATTTATTAATTTATTATTATATATTTGTTAATACCTAAATACCTTTTGTTTCCTGTTATCACGTATTCACAAAGGACTTTCTGGACTTATAAACTTCTGGAAACTTCCTAAATATCAGTTGACTCTTCCATGAACAGCAATTACTTGGCCAGACAAGCCATCTTTATTACACTCACTCCTGGCACCGATACGGTGAACTGTGCAGTTAATAGCCACACTGTTGCTTCCTTGCCTCTGAATCCTCATAATCAACCACAGATTTAGAAATTTTCACAAGATTTATTGTTAGGTATCATCTTAGTCCTTAAGGAAAAGATAGCCAATTTCAACTACCCATTCATGGTAGTCAAATTTGTAATTGAGCATTCTATATTGGTAATGTCTGTCTGAGGAATCCAACCATCAGAGAACAAGGAGAGATAGCATATAAGGTTTTTTTAATTCAATGAGTCAATCATTCTCTTCAGGTGTTCAAGATTAAGTGCTTGCTCTCACTATCATCAATTTGTATATGATATGCTAGGACCATTGTTTACATGTAGCCCAGTCTAAAACAGCCACCCTCAAATTCACAGGGAATACTCAATATGTTTAAAAATCAGAAAGACAGCAAATTATCACTCTAACAAACTTCACGCAGACCCTCACCAAAGTTCAGGCTCTTCAAGATGTCTTAGGCATGACTTCTTTTACATCATGCTTAGTTGGTAAGTCATGCCCAACTCTTTGCAACCCCAAGGACTGTAGCCCTCCAGGTTACTTTGTCCATGGAATTTCCCAGGCAAGAATACTAGAGTGGGTTATGACTTCTTATATATTCTGCTGCAAGAATTAGTAATTAAATGCTATTTCTTGGGGAAGAACTATATGTCCTAACATAGAAAAATCTGAAAACATTCTCATGATTGAAAAATACAAGTTCCAGAATAACATGTTTACTACTATACCATTTATGTTTAAATAAACTCAGTATATTTTTAGCAATGGTTACTTTTGGGGCAAGAGATAGGAGATAAGGAATGGGGGTGATGGCCTGGGGAGACTTTCACCTTATCTGTAATATTAAAAAACTTTAAAACTTTAAGTTAAAATTTTGTCTTAAAATTTTAAGCACTTGTACCATTCTAATTAGGCTCTATCACTATTTTATTGCCCAGATTTTCAGCTTTGTCCCACATGTTTCTTCTCCCAGTTCCTGTGAATATAGAAGTAGGCTGCCAATCATTGACGTTAGTGAGAATAATAAGGGAGAGTTTGCTTGAGAGTATTGAAGAAAGATGGTAAGAATGTTGGGAAATGTCAACATTAAGGAAAAATGGTGTAGAACAGCCATCTAAGAGCCCTCTAGGTTGGTGGCGAAAATGATGGAGTAGAAAGACCCTGAGCTTACATCCTCCCATGGGCACACAAAAATGATAAGTATTTACAGAACAATTTCCTATGAGAACGACCTGAAAACTAGCAGAAGTTTCCACAACTAAACATATAAAGAAGGAAACACAATGAGACAGGCAGAGGGATATTATACTCATGTGTTAATACACACACACCCTGGGTAGATAGATATCACTCATAAATGAGAAGATAATCACAACTGCAGAGTTCTCTATAAGGAACAAGTGGTCCAAGACCCACATTGAGCTCCCCAGCCCATGAGTCCTGACCTGAGAACATGAAATCCCCAAACATCTGCCATTGAAAGCCAGCAGGGCATGCATAGGGAAGTGCCAGAGGACTGTAGGAAATAGAGACTCTGCTCTTAAAGGGTGCACACAAAATCTCACAGGCTCCAAGTCCCTGCACAAAGGCAGTAATTTGAAAGGATCCTATCAGACACATTTGCTGATCTTGAAGAGGCTCTCAGAGAGGCAAGAGGCCACTGGGATTTGCCCTGGGGACAGTGATGCTGGTGAGATCTTTTGGGGGAGTGTGTTCTACCACAAGGACGCTGATGCTGGCAAGCACCATTTTGGAGTCCTTCTTTTTTTTTCCAGAAACTTTGTGCATCCACCAGTGAGTCACTGTCAGTCCTCAGACCCCCTGGTTCAAGATGTCAGCTATGCAGAGACCCAGCCCTGCCCGCCAGCAAGCAAGCAGTTACCACATAAGGTAGTGCGCTGGCAGCCAGATATGCTTAAAGTTGGCGTGCTTATCATTGTGCCCACAGTAGTTGGCCCCACCACAAGAGAAGGGGCCACACAGCCCATATAAAGGGGGCACCTCTGGAGCATAGGGGACACCTCTAGTAAACAGAAAGGAGTGAGCTTTGGGGCCCCATAAAACCTCTCCAACATGAGTCCATTTCTCTAAGATCAGGGAAAATAAACAGAAAATCGGGTAACATGAGGCGAGACAGGAATGTGTTTAAAACAAAGAAACAAATAATACTTCAGAAGAACTAAATGAAGATAAACAATACACCCAATAAGAAGTCCAAGGGAATGATTATAAATATGTTTAATGGATGAACATTGATCTTTATAATCATAAATCAAGAATGGATGAATGCAGTGAAAAGATTAGCAAAAAGTTAGAAAATATAAAGAAGAACTAAACAGAGCAGAGGAACACAATAACAAATAAATAAAACACTAGAAGGACT